TGTCTGAGTCGCTGACGGAGTGCAGGCGTCAGCTGACCCGTGTGGTGGCGGTTCTGCAGGAAGTGGCTGCAGCCGGGGCTCAGATGGTGGCTCCGCTGGCAGAGCAGGAGGGCCTCAGCGCCCTGAAGCTGGAGGACATCACTTACAAGGCTGCAGAGCAGGTAGTCACACCGCAGTTTTATATTCCGCTTCATAACTACATTATACACTCTTTTGTTTTTAAAGAAGAAATGACAAAAGACAGAAAATATTTTCAAAAAGTGGGTTTCATTTCTTTCATCTCTTCTGTCAATTGTTCAACAAAGTTTTAGGAAATTTTATGGTATAGTCATAATATTACCCCCCCCAAAAAAACATTGTAAAAGTACAATTTCACAATTGCTTAATTTTTCTCATTTAAATTTTTTGTTTTGGAGTTCTCATAAAATTATCACTCTATTCTGGCAATACTAATGCTTTATTCTTATATTTTGTCCGAATTGTGTTCGACTTTATTCTTGTAATTTTACAATCCTACAAATGTTATCCTGGTAAATAAATTTAAAAAAAAAAAAGCAGCCTGGCCCTGAATTTCATGGTAAAGATTTCCAAATACACAAACAAGGTGGGGGTTCTGAGCACGCTGACATTATTCTTGAGTCATTGAAGCCCAAGGAGGGCAAAAATTAAATATTCAAAAATTCAATTAATCAGTAAAATTAATGTATTGCCCAAGCCTATGTCAGGATTTGTATTTATAAAAAGAATTTACAAATGAAAAGTGATTTTTCTCCTACCAAACGTAGAGAAATAGTTTGAAAGAGAATTAAAATCTGAGTTATTTTGGTAATTCCTCCACAAAACTGTCACTGACGCACATGTTTTCTCTAAGGTATTTGGCTCCCAGGGTGTGAACGGTCCAGAGCTTCTGCGACAGTCCTGCAGCTCCGTCATCACAACCATGAACAAGATGGCTACCGCGATGCAGGAAGGAGAGTATGATGCCGACAAACCACATGGAAAGGTATTGTGAGTCAATGCAGTGTGGAATCTAAGCACATGCTTGTTGTTCATCCTACACTTCATCCTCCTCTTCAGGCTCCGCCGGTGGAGAAGCGAGCCGCCATTGTCAGAGCGGAGATGACCGACGCAGAAGGTCTGGGAGTCAAACTAGAAGACAGAGAAACCGTCATTAAGGAGCTCAAGAAATCCCTCAAGATTAAGGTGACAAATGTTTCCTTCTTTTCACATTGTTCCAACACAGCCACTAACTTGAGGCTGCAGGTCCACACCGGACCTGCAGAAAATGTCTGAACAATCGGGGGAAATGAACTCTGATCTGTTCAAATTGGGCTAAATGTGGCAGGTGTGAATGCGCTCAGTCATTCACTCCACAGAACTGGCCTCTGAAACTGTGACGAATAGAAACATGTTGAAATCCATAAGAAGTCATTTTAGCGGTCTGCCATAAATATCTAGAAGAAACACAGCAAACTTGTTGAAGCAGGTAATCTGGTCAGATCAAATCAAAATGTTGGTTGATATGCAAAGCAAAACTATCAGTTCAAGGTGAAACACGGTGGTGGCAACATCATGCTGTGGAGACACCGACTCAATTTGAGCTACTATACAAAGAATGAGAAACTTCAAGTGCGTCATAAAACTTTTGCAAACCACTAAGAGCTGTGACTGTCGTCGTTCCAGGGTGAGGAGCTGAGCGAAGCCAACGTCCGCCTCAGCCTCCTGGAGAAGAAGCTGGACACGTCCACCAAGGACGCAGACGAACGCGTGGAGAAGATTCAGACAAAACTCGATGACAATCTCGCCCTGCTTAAGAAGAAAGAGAAGTAAGGAAGGATTTCAATACAGCAACATTTTTTTTTGTGCGTCTTATTTACCTTCTCCCTCCTCTGTGTGCAGGGAGTTTGAGGAGACGATGGACGCTCTGCAGGCGGATATTGACCAGCTGGAGGCAGAAAAGGCTGAGCTGAAGCTACGCATCCAAAACCAGTCAAAGATTACGATTGAAGGGCTGAGAGGCTCTCAGGGTTCAGGAATCGCCTCCATCGTTCAGGGATCTGCAAGTTTGTGCTCGTTTTTTTTTTTTTTTTTTTTTTTTATTCTCTAAAACAGGAAGTTTTGATCAAATTTGACAGGCTTGTTTACATTTAGAAAATGTCAGAATAAATATTTTCAACATTTCTTTTCTCCTGCAGGTCTGCCTGCAACCCTGGCAGGGCCAACACAGGTGGTGGACTCCCCTCTCCTCCGACAGCAGCTTGAGGTCCAGAGACTGGGCATTAAATACCTGAAGAATGAAAATAACAGGCTCAAGGTAAACTCAGTTTCAGTTTGATATCAGAGTAAGGGTGAGCAATAGATCAATTTTATTGACAAATCAAAATTTTGATTAAAATCTCAGCCCTATATCTTTGTGTTAAATTCAAGCTTTTGGTATAATGACCCACTTTATGTATATTTGACTGACAGGCGGAGAAGATGAAGGCTCAGCTCGCGTCCCTGCCCCCACTGTGCCCTCCGAAACTCCCACCGGTCTCCAAAGAAAGCTCATCGTCTCCAGAGGGACTGAACACGGGGATCTACCGCAGGACCGACCAGCTGCTGGCCACCCTGCTGAAGCTGAGTGCAGAGGTTAAGGTGGTGGACATCACAGGGAAGACGGCAGGTGACTGACGCACAGAACGGTTTTCCACTTCGTCTCAGTTTCAAACACTTCTATGTAGCTAATAAACTATTTTCTGATACATAAAATGCATTGAAATTTGATTCTAATGCAACAATGTGAAAAAGTTCTTGGTTTCTTTCCGGTCTCATAGTCAGCGCCAGCGCTCAGCTGCTGGAGCAAACGGCTCGCCTGAAGAATCTCAAAGACGCCCTGGACAAACTACAGGTACGTCTTTGCACTCTTCATGTTGTGCCTAAGAGAAATCCAAGGGTCCACTATAATGGAACTCTAGTCTGTATGCCTAGAAACTCTAGTTCGTTTGGGTAGGTGTAAATAAATTCTAATATGTGAACTCCAATCAAATCACAAACTGCTCCAAAAGCAGGAAGAAAACTATAGCGCAGGACATTCTTGGCAAATACAACCAAAACAAACATGCGAGTCTAAGGCTAGCAGGAGAAATTACTTGTGGTCTTTTGCCGAAGACAAGAGAAATCATACAACCGCTAAACTGTGATGCCATTACAGGTTTGTTTGCATTTCATGCCGTTGGGGAAGTTGCGCTCTGTGTCAGGTTTTGTTTCCTTCAGTGGTCCTTGGTGCAGCGCCACCACAGGCAAGGGGAAAACTGGTTGCTCGAAGGGTTTTGTTCAACCAGCTGGTGAAAGTGAATCGCGCCAGCTGTAAATGTAACAAACGTTGCAAAGTCCCGTAGGCACCTATCAGGTGTGAAAACATCCCAAAACTTATTCACTTTTTGTTTCAGGGTGAGGTGGCTGAACATGTGGTTTCAAACCAGCCAGGAGCAAAGGCTTCCTCCGACTTTGCCACATTCCCAGCGTCCGCTTTCATTAAGGTACAGCTACAGGAAACGCTTTTAGAAACAGATTTACTCTTTGTGCATCTGGATTGAACAGTTACTTTTTTTTCTCAGGCTAAGGAAGAGAAGCAAGGAGGAACGGTTTTTGTGGGTCGCGTTGCCATCCCTTGCACCCGCGGTCAGGAGCAAGTCCACCGTCTAGTCCTGTCGCAGCAGCAGCTGCAGCAAGTGCACAACCTCCTCATGATCTAAAGCCAGTGCTACCACTCCACCCAGCACTTCTCCTTAACGTTCTTGTTTTGTTTCAATACTACGCTCAGGAATCTGTGTCCTGTTAAAGCAAAGTTTCAAGCACTAATTCTTATAACTTAATGCCAGACTCCAGAATGTCATGCTATGAAGATGTGTTCATTTAAACTTTGAGGCTTTGCCAACATGTTCAAGTCAACTTTTCTTGTCTCTTCAACCTTTGAATACATTTGTATTTGTAATTCTGAATTAAAAGCATTTCACTTTAACTCGCAGCCTTTAATAGTTTTCTGTCTGGTTCAAAGTAATGGCTTAGAATCAATGGCATACAAACATTTTCAAGCTTTTAATCCTAATGGAACAAATGACCCTTCATATCTTTGTCATACTTTACATTTTCCATGCAGCTGTCCACTACAAGACACTTCAGAAAGCGACAATTTAATAAAGGTGTCTTACGACATCCACCAGCAGAATGTTCCCTTCTAGTTTGATCAGGGGTTCAAATTGGTAATTTCATAAATGGCACAACATAATGGAAAGAGGTTTTAGTAAAATATCCAATTAGATCTGAATTTTGACTTTCAGTAATTTATGAAAATATGCCTTTGCAAGCTTCTGATGTATTTAAAGAAAAGATCTCAAATACTATACACACAAGCTGCACCTTAATGGTAAGGTGCAGCAGGAATGTTCAAGATGGAGACTGGGTTTGAAACCCAGATAATTTGTTACAAATGTATCCAGCAATCACAGGGCAAAAGAATTAGAGCTCATGATCAACCACAACATGGGTTGAAAAGCCACTTGGCAAGAAAGAAGCTAAAACCAAAACTTAGTTAAGGCAGCCTTAAAGACTAAGTTTGCAAATGCTCATCCAGTTGAATCTCATTCTTGTAGATTTGTTCAAGTCATGAAACTAAGGTGTTTGACCAGAATAATCAAGACTGAGGAAAAAAAGCCTTGCCAACTTGAGGAAAGACTGAAAATATTTGACATTTGAAGATACAATAGATGTATCCGGTTAAAAGCTACATCCATCCAAGTCACTGTGCCATGGTGTTCTTGGGTGAGAACTCACCTGCTCTTTTGCTGGTAGTGGTTAAAGAGCCCAGTTGCAATGGTGGAGTCCTCTGACTTGACAAATCCTACACATACAGGCCATCTGCCATTTCAAATTGACAATTTTATCACTAAATTAGTTAGAAAGCGGTTCAATAACAGCCATTATTTCAACATTAAAGGAAATCTAGGATCAAAGATGAAAGGGTGTGAGAACAAGGCAGCCTACAAAGGACTCAGATGTCTGTCGTTTTTATCAGGAACAAAATCAACAGCATTATATTGTGACAAATGTTTATTTAAAAAAACAAGCTTTAATACCATCTTGAAATTATATTTAATGGAAAAACAGCTCAAAAACAAAAAACTTACAAGCAAATATTAAAATATTTGGCTCCTGGTGAAAGAAAAACCCCAGTTTACACAATTACAAAACACCTGTTTATGGAAGAGAACAAAGCATAAACATGAGTGGCACTTGAACAGCTCCATTTCAGTAATGATATCCATGAAAGGGACGGTGATCTGGTTTGTGATGGGTGTAGGGGGCATAGTGAGGCCTGCTGTGACGGTTCCTCATCACGAACTGATGACTGAGGGGCTGGTGGTAATCTTCATAGGGCTCAAAGTAGGAGGACGGAGGCACATTGTCAACACCTGTAAGATGTTCAGATGTTATTTTTTAAACCGATAAATTTATGCTATTGATTTTTCACTAGTTTTGGTAGAGAATTAAATTTTTTTTTTAAAGTCTGCATCTACTGAACACAACATGTTAAAGTTAATATTTCTAATGGTGTAACTCGGGTGTCGGTAACAACCCATTTTGCCCACACATGCAGATATCACACCTAATACAAACAAATGAGACATCAGGCTGTGACCATAGTCTTATTTCGTTTAATAACTTGTAATGTTAATTCCAGGTCTGATTGGATTTGCCAACCATTAATTGATGTTTGTGAATTAAATTCTTCTGTTGGGTGATTGAGTCATGTCTTCCCTTTCTTCATGAGTTGAACATTTTTTCCTCCCATCAATTCCATTTTATAACACAACGTATTATTGTACAAGTGTGCTGGATGGGCAATGGCACCTTCACCTAGAGACACGATGAGGCTGTAAATGCCAAGTCTGAAGCAGTCCATACACTTACCATGTCTGGGCGGTACGTAATGTTTCTGCTGAGGTCTGCGGCGCGACCGGGGCTGCTGCGGCTGGACGGCAGGTAGGAAGTTCTCTGCATTTTCGTGGCGATGTGGCATTGGCTCTCTCTTATCTTCAAAGCTCAAGAAGGCACCAGACAAAGAATCGGAGGTGAACTCCTCTCTGAAGCTGTCCGAATTCACAGCAGCTGTTTGGTAGCCATTTGGACAGGAAAGAGAGGTGAAACAAAGAGATAAAAGAAAATTACTTAAAGTGGAACAAAGAAATGCAGAAGTTTCATTTAAAGATTCTCTCTTGTTTTGGAATAAAAGAAACAAAAATATGGTCATTAAAGATAGATGGCATCTTCCAGCAGATGCACTCCTTCAGCTTTTCTAAAGTATACAGTTTAGTTTTATTTTGGAAATGCCAGGATGACCTTTAACATCCATCTCTGAAGAACTAATCTCCTCTGTGCTAATCCAAAAAAACTACAGAAACACAAACCGTCATCTCTGGAAGCCAGGAACACCCTGCATGAGAATCTCTACAATACCAGTAGTCTGAAAATACTTGATCATACTTTTCATATCCCATTGATTTCCAGGCCTGTGAAATCTTTAATTTCCCTTATTTTCCAGTCTAAATAAACCACAGGAATCACCATCATGTCTTACCTGCAAATTTTGTAGAACAGTCATAGATGGACTTCTGATCTGGAACTTCTGAAACAGCAAAGTAGATGCATGTTTTAATTCTGAAATAAAAGATGCGTTTGTGGAACCACTCTTCTCACCATCAGCAGTCAGCATCACACCCCAGGCTTGTGAAATGTGCCGTAACAGAAGAGCGGTGATCCTGCGGTGGGCGATGGCGTTCCAGTGGACGCCGTCTTTGGTTCGATGTTGTAATGAGAAGCGGAACTGAAAGTGGAGGTCCAACACATCCATCTCATAGTTGTCGGCCAGAGTCCCACCGTAGAAGTTGGCTTCAATCACGTCGTAACGCAGCTGAGGAGCTTTGTGCTCAATCTGAGGTCAGAAAAAAAAATTATGCATTTTTCCATTCAGCAGAAAATATCAAGATGAGGACATAATACTCTACTGTCACTTTGCCAAAATATCACCATGTTAAACCTGTTTAATGTCCATTCCAAGTGGAAAGTCAAACATAAGTCTGTTCACTTTAATCAGCAACAAAATACATTTATGTCTTTTTACACATTTGACAGCAATTCACCTCAGGCACCAGAAAGCCACCTTTGATCCTTTCTCCTAATGGCATGGTGAGATTCCAGATAACCAGCGTTTCCTCTGGTAGGAAACTCTTCAGCTCACCAAAGAACCTCTTAAGATTTGCCTTGTAGTCATCGACCCATTTGGGATTGTATCTAAATAAATATAATGCAAACAATAAAAAAGGCCTAAGCAATTACAGCACAAAGACTAGAATCAAAAACATAATCAGTATGGTAAGTACTGTGCATTATAAATATACAAGAGGCATTCCTTTAAACTGACTCTTGATTTAGCATACAAGCAGTTTTGCTTAGTCGGGTAAAAAGTGATGCAATGAAAGCTCACTTGGCACCCAATGAACTGGCCAACACGTTGCTTTTATTTAAATCAAGTTTTGGTTTTATCTTTTACAACATTTCTAAAATGCAAATGCTTTCTGATTGGCATTGGCATTTTTCTTTTGTATTCAGGTTCGTTTTGGACCACATGCTACACCACCAGACGTATTCTTGACCCCAATTTTTTTGGACTACTGTACTGGAGCATCTCTAGAACTAATATTTAAGCTTGGTGTTAAAGATGCACTTATATCAGTACTTCTTGTTACCCACCTTGAAATATCCCAAACACAAGAGTTCACAATGACCACGTCTGGTTTCAAACCCTGCCGGAAGTCCTCGATGATGCTCTGCATGTATCTGGAGAAGATGCGGGTCACGAAGTAGAAGCGGATCAGGTGGTGGTCAGACTGATACTGACGGACCTCTGTGTATTCGGTCCCATTGTTCATTCGGTTCAGACAGCCTCCTTCCACCAAGCAGTCCAGCTCGAAGCTCATCTCACCCTGCAGGGACAAAACGTCACAATTAACAAGAGAAAAGCGAACAAGCTGATAACTTAACACACGTCACAGAAATACAAGTTTTTGTTTATTTGCAGATGAATATCACATATAATATCTCCCATTTTTGTAAATTATAACCACATGCTACTTACCTTGCTCTTTAGTTGTCTTAAAGTGAGGTATCGGTCCTTTTGTAGCAGTACGACAAGATCCTTGTATACAGAGCGCTGAACTGAATGAAAATACGTTTAATAAGTTACAAAAAATAAACAGATGGGGGAAAATATTTAGACATAATAAGGAAGGGAAAAGTTACTCACTGGAGTCTCCCAACACCACGACGAACTTGTTATGGAGGAGCAGGCGGGCCTGCTGGTGGCTCACCGTCTCTTTCTGGCAATTAAAACATTACTTCCATTATATGTAAAAATACATATTACAGTAAAAATGCAAAATATATATATATATACTTACCATTGTGTTTTAATGTTTTCAAATTCAGTTTAAAACTACCTAACTTTCCTACATTTACGACCGACGCCACTTTCTGAAAGCTAGCCGTTGACTAAACAGCTATTTATTTCCAAACTTTTCCTCCGTCTAAATCATTACATCCACCACAAAGTCTTTTTTGGGAGCTTAAACCCACTTTTAAAACGCAAGATGCCCAAACATCCACATCGTCGTGTCAGGTTTTAAAAAGTTAGCATAATTGTTCGATCCTGGCTGCCGTTAGTTCTACAGACTCAGGTGAAGCTGATTGGATGAGGCCTTCAATGACGGTCGGAAAATTATCTTTCTACAGCGAGCCTCAGCATCGCTTCAAAAATAAATACAAATTACCTCCGAGATAGTTAATCTAAATTATGCGTCAATACCAATTTACAAACTTGACAAAACTCTGTCACACGAATTTAAATTCACTGTTTTCTAAAAGTGAAATTCTGCCGTCAAATTATTATTCTCACACTTTCTTGTGGGTCCCCAGATGCAACTAACAACCAGTTTTTTTCTTTTTTCAAACTATTTGAAATGTATCTACACAGACTTTTTTCACGGCAACCGGAAGCTGATCTGAAAGGGCTGCGGCACTTCCTGTTTTGGTGACTGTAATTCAAGTACTCTGAAAATGGCTCTCCTCCTCCGGTCATTTTCATCGTCCTTACTTAATTTGCCAGCCCTTTCTTTCGCTGATGCGGAGAAAATCGCAGCGGCTAATTCATCCACCAACAAACGTGTGAAAAAAAATACATGTTCTTCCACAAAACATATATCCACAGCTATCAAAGTAAGAAAAGACGTAGCTTCGCGAGCTAATCGCTAGCTACAATATATGAACTACACAAACATCCTAATGAAGCTTAACTTAGTATGCTAAATTACGTGGAATATTGGAGACAAACATGATTTAAACTTTTCAGTTATTTTCTGATTACATTCTGAAATGTATTTGCCAGTACAGTTTGTGAAAAACAGCATGCTAGGACTTAGTTATGAGATACTAGATGACGCTTGATTTTGAAACTGTGCCATAGTAGTTGTCAGAGCTGGATGCTTCAGATCCATGAAGAAAAATGAGGGCCATTATTATTATTATTCTTATTATTATTATTATCATCATTATTATTATTATTATTGACTGATCCATTTTTCTAGTCTTTTAATGCTAAGGCTATAGCCACCGGAAGTAGTTAAGATTATGACTATCTTTTAGAGCCAAGTCTGTAAAATATTGAGTGTAATCAGGTTAAATGAATTCAATTTCTGGCAGATTTAAAATGTAAATATATTAAAATAGGATAAGGCATCTTTATTTACCATGACATCAGGTACTAAATAGAAAAATAAATTAGATCCTTAAAAAAAATGAAAAATAGACTTTTTTTCCTCAAAGTAATATTTTTATTTCACTGTTTATCATGTTTTTAAATGTGATATGAGCATTTTCAAATATTTTTCCTCAGTGGAAGACACTATCATCTTCATCATAATCTAGTACTTGAATCTGATCTTCTTTCTTTTCGTCCTCCTCCTCTTCATCGTCTTCTTCATCATCTTCTGCATTGCTTGTTGTCTTACTTTTACCTCTGTGGTGAAACTCCTGGTATATCCCATTCAGTGCTTTTGCCGCCTCCAGGGACACTTTTAGATTCCCTATGACCTCCCTATCTTTGTCCACACTCAAAACTGCAGAAAGGTGGAAGAAAAATTTGACATTGAAAGTTTTGTTATTTAGAAAATGTAGGACACTTTTACCTAAATTAGGATTTTATTTTGTTTCCTAATGCAAAGACTTGCATTAGGAAACCATACAATTTATCCGTTGAGCTGGTTAACAGAAAGGTGAAACTTCAATACAGTAACATGTAACTCAGAGCTTCAACATTTACTGTCAATCTGTTGTTCGATCACATCGTTTCCTGTGAGCAGCAGTTCCTGCAGGTCCAGGAAAGCGTGTCCAACATCCACACATTCCTCTTCATCGTCCATCGGCTCACTGACCACAGTGAACTTTAACCTGCCGTTACAAATAAACGTTGTCAAATAGGACAACGATCAAAAACACACCAGTAAAAATAATTTTTAAACAGATAAAGTAAACTAACATTAATGTTCTGCAATGGTTTTTGAACATGGTCCATTTAAAAATGATCGGGCTATGCTCCAGGCGGTTCTTTGTCATGAAACCAGCCAATTAAAATGACCACTGTTCTGGTAAGCAGATGTTGGTGCACACAATGTCAAAGAGTATAAATACACCTGGATGTTTGGATTAGAGAAACTCCTCAGTAAATTCAAATTTGTGTCATCAGAGTCACTGCAGTTGTTTGGTGCATAAGCAATCAATCACAAAAAAGAAGAGTTACGAAAAACAACAAAAGAGTGACATGACTTTCATTAACTGCTGCAAGTCTCTAGACCACCCACCTGCCCTGGTTGGGGTCTGTCCCCTCCAACATGGTGTAAAGATACTGCCTGAGTGGAGCTGACTGGGAGCTGTCCACATAAATCACTGGGAGAGACAAAAACCCACTTTTAAAACAAATTCAAGTATGATCTCCGTCCTGAATGCATTTTACACACAGAAGCACCAAACTTCAGGCACCTCGTGTGAAGTTGTAGTGAATCTCCTCCCCTTTCACAGGTTTACGGAGGGACATGGGCGTTTCTGTCGTCTCCATGGCAATGCCCAGGAGCCGGTACTCCACGTAAACGCGCTGCACAGAGGGGTCGAGCGCCACACGAGACGACGGTTCAAAGGTCAGGGACAGGATCTCGACTCTTAGCTTGTCTCCCTGGAAGACAGCAGCATCTTTAAATCTCATCTATTATTTCTCTATATGCTAACGTTAAGAAGCCAGACTTTCTTGTAATCCTGTGAAGTGAGTTTAAACAATAGTTTTTAGAGCCAAGTATGAGTTACAATATCCGTAAATCATATCTTGAGGTGCACAAAACGCAAATAAATGCACTCACTTCCCAACGAAGCCAATTCTGCAAGAAAACCCTATTGTTATGTCATAACTTCTGAGAAATGAAGAAAGATAGACAAAGAGGTCAGCCGAAGTCTGAAGAGTCTAAACATGGAATATTTTGAAATGCAGATTACAGTAAGTTTCATCAGTGTTTTATTTCCTAGTATTTTAGAAATTCAAAATAAAATTCAGCAAAGATCTGACAGAATTTCAGAGATGTAGCTAATAGCGGAAATTATTTTCCAAGTATCAAATTGTTCTCTTTGGTATTTTTCACAGACTTGATTATAATAAAAATCACTCAAGCGCAATGACAGGGACAGACTGTCAGAAATCCCATGTAAATATTCATAAAGACCTCTTTCAAAATATTTCCAGAAACTCTGGCTCTTCAGAAATAAAATAAGAACAATTCCTGATTGACTTAACAGTTTTGCACAGTTCTTATGACAATTTCAACCCTGTTGCAACAATTTGTTTGTTTTCCAGTCCCAAATATTCCATACCGTTCTCATTTTTCGTTGCGATGGTATTATTATTATGTCGCTCTGTGAAGAAGTGGATTCTGGGGATTCAGGGCCGTCACTGGCCTCTGTAAGAGAAAAAGACAAAGATTTAAAAGTTCAAGGGAGTCACACAAAGCTGAATTTTTTAATCCATATTTAATAAAATGGTCAAGTAAGTCTTCAGATGACATAAAGTAAAAACAGAATTACCGCTGGCACTCTTTTTTTCTTCCTCCTCTTCTTCAAACTCAGACACTTGACTCACAGAGGGAAGATCCTGGAACAAAAAGCTGAAACTTAAGCCTATGATCCAGGATATTCACAATTTGTGCCATTTATTTCCAGGTTACACTGACTATCTAATTTATTATGGAAAGAACAGACAGGCATGTTGTTTTCAGAGAGTGAGGGAGCTGACCTGGATCCCTGCATCAGTCACAGAGCTTCCCCTCGATGGAGTTGCAACTGATCGTCTGGAGGACGACCCAGCTGGAGATCTTAAATGGAAATAAGTTTCATCATCATCTTTATCTCATTATTTATTTAAAAAAATAGTGTTGGACACATAGAGCAGCAACAATTAATGTTATTTTTTTTACAAATTTGCATTTATGCAGTCCTGTTAACAGTTTTGTAGCTGTTAGTTCTGGAAGGTATTTTTCCCCTGCCAATCTATGTGAATTGTAGATGAGTCTGTTGAATAAATAAAAGTGTTTTTTACAAAGTAAATGTTTCTCTTACCTGTAGGACAAAGTGGTCAGTCTTCGTTCAGGGGTTAAGTGAGGCGACCTCGCTTCAGAGGACCTCTTGGTGGATCTCTTACGGTCTGCTGATGGCGGTTTCACAGACACGACTCGCTCTGATCGCAGATCCTGTGAGCTTTTCTGTCTGACAGGTGAAGGCTGGGGCTGTAAGAAGGAAAATATTTCAAATAGGCATATAAACATGTCAAGTAAAACAAGTAATTTGTTTAACCAAAACAAACAAATATTGTTTTTGCCACATTTTAATTATGTTTTATATCCACATCTAGTGTGCAGAAACAAAGAGCAGATTTCTGGCATATTGACTGGTTAAAAACAAAGCCTTAATGGTAAACATGTGTGTCAAAAACTATTTATTCTTTAAACGTTTCCATTCAAGAGAGAAATAGCAGCCAGGTTTTGTCAATCGAATGTTGGGGATTTTTATTTGTTGCCAAAATTATGATTGGGAAAAAAATGACTTAAGCCGTTATCGTAGGAAGGTGACAATATGCTGTGTGTTTTTTAACACTTTAGATTTAAATAATTTTGGAACCAATAACAACAGAATTTTATTCAATCATACCTAAAACCTAGAAGGTGGATAAAATGCTTTCTCTTTACTGGGACTTTAAATCAGCTGGATTTCTTACCCAAGCTTTTGCCTCTTTCTGCACAGCTTTAGTTTCTTTGGGCTTCAGATCCTGAGTCTGTAAAAACAGAGAAACAAGTTCAGCTCTTCAGAGTAACATTTGAATTAGTTTTGACCCGGTCAGAGAAATCACATCACCTTCACTCTCTGCTTGGCCGTCGGCCTTTGGGACGTTTCCTCGCTCCTCCTCTTTTCCCGCTGACTGCTTTTCATCGTCCTATGAGGATCGTCCACTTCCCTCCCCCATCTACCCTGAAGGCTGTCCAACAACGGCTGGAATGGATACTTCCACTTCAGCATGACTCTGACCATTCCCCGAGGTCCACCGGCGGGATCTCTTAGAACATAATCACCTGACAAAATACGGGATAAAAAAATATATATATATATAGTTTTTAGTAATAATTCTCCTTCAAGCAGTTTTATTTCCCTCACAGCCTCACCTCTGATCTCTCTGCCTGTTGCCAAAGCTCTCAGTGGGATTGGCGTCTTGGCCAGGTAGGCTGGCGGTATCTGCTCATCGCTGTCATCAAACACATACACCCACAAACTGCTGGACCTGGCAAACGGAAACCGGCTGTAATCTCAAAGAACTGAATCATATTATTGATTTAGAGCCAGCGCACCTGAGGTAGTGCAGCACATCAGTTGTTACTGCCAGAGGGAAGCTGGTGACGTTGTTGAACACCGGATCGACGGCGCACTGAACCGTTTGAGAGACGTGAGGCGGCAGGTCGTACAGCCGGTACGTCAGGTAGGCGTCTGGCAGGAGCCCCGGCCAGCGGGCGTTGAGGCCGACACAGCGCTCAAGCATCACCACCAGCTCATTGGGGATCCCACC